GGAAAATTAATATGAAATAAAAATAACTGTGGAATTAGCTGGAAATCCAGGGGAATTTTGTTTAGATATTTCTGTAACATTTCTTTTATATCTTTCAGATCTTCACATTCCCACCATAGAGGCAAAATTCAGCCCCTTTCCACTCCACAACACACGACCTGAAGGCAGCAAACCACGAACTCCGTGCCTCCATCAGCATAGAGACTTTTGTACTTACCTTTTGTAAGTGAAGATTTCCTGCATCAGGAATTTTCCTTTATGTCATGCCATGAACTTCTAAGAAATTTACAACTCTCTGTATTTCTCCTTATTCCCAAACCATTTGGCGAGGTGCCCCAATGAACGAGACAAGGCAAAGTAAGGTTCAAAGTGACTTCTGACATTTAATGGGCTGTGTAACAGGTTATAATCAGCAGGAAACAGATGTGGTCTTTACAAGCATTATCCAATCCTAATAAAATCATATATCTTATCTTAACATCTTAACCTACAGCAAGCTTGCAGGTGTATCTTCATGTTCGGGCCTTGTACAAAGCTAAGTTTCACTATAACTACGCACTTAAAATGAATATGCATACGCACTTAGAATTTAAAGATATTTACTACACAGTTCTAAATTACACATTACTATGCAGTTATGATCAAAGGGAGAAACACAGGAAATAAGGCCAACAGCAGAAACACACAGGATATAACACTAACACTTGTTACGCAATGTTCTATAGGTTGTGTCTAGGGGTATATTCACTAAGCATTTTATATAGACAAAGTATATTATTTCAAATAGCTGACATGATCCAAGTTAGAAACTTTTAAACAGACTGAACATCTTGTCATCTGTAGCTTGAGCCTTGGGTCAGTATAGGCAAAGTGTATTATTCCCAACACCTTTACTTATATTGTTTAGTCTTAATCATCTCATCCAATCCAATGATTCCCTGTAGGGAAGCATTGGTAAGCATGTGTGAATTTGCGGCAAAATGCTGCAAAGCACCAATTTGCATCTTATAATAGAGATGCATTGAATCAAAGCATCTCTTTGGGTAGTATTAAGTGTCTCCATGCAAAAAAACTCATTCAGGTTATCCCCAGAGGATCTTATCCATGAAGTGACAGCCACTATAGTTGGACTTGGGCAGTGTTCACAATGCTAAGCCTCCAGGAACAGACTATATTCCCAAGAACCACTGCATCAAGCTGTTTCTTTAATGTAGACCTCAAAATGTTTGTGAAAATCTTGGTTAAGAGGAAGAAAATATATTCTCCCAGATTTGATCCTCCATGAGTACATTGGCTTAATACTTGGAAGAACTGAAACTACTTCATGAGTCCTTGGGCTCATTTATAATGCTTTGGCATAAGAGTCAGGATTACTGATTGATCCAGCACGTAGAATTGTATCACACCTAGGACTAAAAGGTAACATGTGACCGGGCCTTAGAATGGCTGGACTTAACGTACCAAGAATAGTCAGGATACTTGCCGAGGTCAGGGACACATAATGGGACACAACGATAAGGGAAAGCCAAGAGTCAGGGATACCAGAATACAGGGAAGTCAAACAAAGCCAAAGTCAAATAACCAGAAATAAATGCTCAGGAACACACTCTCGGAAAACCACTAAGGGAAACTGTGACCGGGCAATGGAGAAAAGTAAAATTGCGTTTAAATAACTCCTTTACAAATTTGATTGGTCTTTGACCCCAGAATGTGCACGCGCGTCTCCCGCGTGACGTCACACGCACGCCGACATCCTCATCAATGTAGGCAGATGTGGGGCTATAATTTGGCATGGATTTGCAGTGGCTGGCGTCCATCAACTGCAGGAGTCAGTTATACAGACGCTTGCCCGCTGAGCGCATATACTGAGGAGGAATATGTTACAATAAGTTCCCCTGTTTCTCTTAGTTTTTTTATATGCAGTAGATAGAGTGATGGATTGTACCAGGACTTCCTTATTCTAACCTCAAAACACACATGCTTTGGAAAAATTATTCTGTGGTAGACTTTGGCTTTATACTCCAGCCATCTGTCATGGCAAGCATTATGCAAACACACAGTGTATGACACTCAAAAAATAACACAAGATAGAATGTGTTACTGGTCCCTAGAAGTGGCTGGGATTCACAAAAAACAGAGTAGCAGTATAACAAGCCAAAAGTTAAGGGCTTTCGGAAAGCAGGTCAAATAGAGAACAGAATGGTCAAAAGGATAGCCAGGCCCTTTGAAGAACACTATAAAAACTAAAAAAAATCAAGGAATGACAATGGGGCAATGAACACTAGATTTGGCATATAATTAAGTGATTTGGCACAGCTACAACCTCAAAATGCAGATGTGCATTATTTACATCATGGAGTTGGTGTGTGAGCACCCCGTCATAAAAGGCAGCAGGGCAGCATTAAGCGTCCAAAACAACAGAATAGAAGGAGGACTGATGGAGGGATTAACAGGGCTGTGAGATCAGCTGGAGGTAAGTTAAGTCATCGGCCTCCTGACATTATTCCCCTCCAGAACACAGTAGGGGATGTTCAGAGAACCTAGAAAAGCCCTAACAAAACAAGAGTCGTGAACATCATCAGCATTGGCCCAATAACATTATTCAGTACCGTACCACTTCCAGTGAACTAGATACTGAAGCTTGCTGCCGGAAACCCAGGAGTCCATATATCTTCTTACCTTGTATCATTAGGGGAGGAGTCTTGGTAAAGTGATTGCATAAAAGAGGCTTTAACATGGACACATAGAAAGCACGCAGAAGAAGGCAATTTCAATTTACTAGACACATGATTATATTGCTGGAGACCTTTAAATGAACCTATATATTTAGGTGCCAGTTTAGTAGTAGGTAGATTCAACTTGATATCGCAATACAAATGCAGGCCATGTAAGAAAAGTTTTTGTAAAACATTGGCACATCCTACAACAAGATAAATAACTCAGAAATTATTTAGATAATAAACCCAAAAGTTAAAACAAATCTTAACCACAAGTTTAATAGAAAAAGAAAGGAACGATTTTTTTAACTAAAGCTATTAATACACAGAAGAGATTTTGCTGCAAAATGAGAGGGAATAAGGAAAGGAAGATTGAGACCTTTTATTCCCATAGTAATCAAATCAAATTTTTTATCAATTCTTTCATTTTTTTTTTTTATCAATTCTTTTTTTTTTTTTTGGTCTTGTAACACCAAGGATGTTATATATGTTCTCGTATGACCATGCGGCTTCCAATACGTTGGAAAACTTTGAGGCCCCTTAAGATCAGGATACGGAAACACATATATAATCTCAAGAGAGGATACACCAATCATAGTGTATCCAAACATTATCTGAAACACCATAAAAAAGATCCAGATAAACTTGTCTTTTTTTGGTGTACAACACATTCTAGGACATTGGAGAGGAAATTGTTATGGGCAAAATGCAAATATAGTACTTCTCAAACTGTGTACTTTGTCTTTAAGAGATATTGCAAACTGACAAGGTGTTAGAAATGGAACATATTGTTTTTCATACAGGTTTCTTTTACCTACTTTCAGTGCATAATATGTTTACACCATTTTTTCCAAGACAAAATACAATAACAATAATGCATAAACAAGCTTCAAGGGTATGCTACAACTCTTTCAGTACATAATGTACTGGGATAACCCTAAATAGATAAAGATGTTCAGACTTTAAGATGCCATCTTGTCCTAAGTCAGGGAATTTCCCAAGACATGTGCACCCTTACATTTTAGTTATGGCATTGTATCTTTGCCAAGTTAAGGGAGGTCCTAAAATGAATAAAGTAAAAGAAGTGAGGGCGTGGCTTTGAAGCCGAGAAGATGGCGGCATGATTCCTGAGCTCCCTAGAAGGCTCCACACTAACCTCGCCGACTGCACCACATTGCCCCGAAAATGGTCAAATCACACAGAGCATCACAAGCCTCTAAGCCCGCTGACACCCTCAAGGGGAACAATCACCCCTCTCTGCGACAATACCTGATTGCCCCGGCGGACCCAGACATGCAGGCCTCTAATGACTTTGCGGCCTCGGATGGGCTTTTCTCACCCTCCCCATGTGGCGAAGAGGCTCTCATAGAGGCACCTATAGCCGATACTGCAACAACACAACCCGACTGGGTAAGCATGCTGCGCAACTTACCTACCAAAACGGGCCTGAAGGCAGCAAACAACGAACTCCGTGCCTCCATCACAATGGAGCTCCAAGCCATGCGGGAAGAATTTTGGAGCTTACGCCAGAAGGTGTCCCAACTCGAGGTGGACTGCGACCACATGTCGGCGCAGTCTGCGAACACAGATACCCTGCAACTTAGCACACAACAACTCCGACAGATGGCGTATCACCTTGAGGACCTCGACAATCGGGGCAGATTATTAGGGTCTGCGGGTTACCGGAGGAGACCGATGATGCAACCCCTGTACAGACAACCCTAACAGGCATATTTAATAACCTCATGGGCCCCCCCCCCACAGTCCCCGATGGACATGGCGAGAGCCCACCATGCACTCAGGCTGAAAGGCCCACCCCGGGAGCTTGCCCCGGGACATCATATGCTGCATAGCCAATTTCCAACAAAAGGAAGAAATTCTCCGAAAGGCGAGAGACTCGAGCAAAGTGCTCCTGGAAGGCACGGAGATACAATTATACCCGGACCTATCACCCACCGCGTTGGCATACTGCCGGGCCTTGCGCCCCTTCACCAAGCAACTGCAGGCAAAAAAAATTAAATATCGCTGATGCTTCCCAAATGGATTTCAGGTCCACACACCAAAAGGACCCTTCGAGATCAGGGAAAGGGCTGACATGGATGCCCTTGCGAGAGAGCTGTAAATAACCCCCGGCATAAGTACTATGGCCAGACCCCCTGACACTCTACACACCTGCCCAGAGATCGAGGAGTCAGGCCGCAGGATCCCAGAGAACCACATGCCAGCAGGCAACAGGCCCCCAAGGCCTTTAGAATGACGGGATCTCTTTACGGTACCTGACCCATGAACGCCAGCCTCGAAACTAGGACACTCCACCCAATCACAGGGGTCCCCCACCATACCTTACCGGGACTGTTTACAACGCTGAAACGACATAACAACCCAAGCATCACCCTCCTCACACCAAACTATGGACACCTTCACCGGGCCTCCCGCTCCTTCCTCCTTGTTCAACGGAGGACCGAGATCCACGGGGAGACACCCAGCAGCGATCACATCTAAGTAACCACTGAGTACTCCCGCCTCCACAGAATCCCTGGCATTGGCTCCGAAGGGACATCACTGACTTATGCTGGGACACTCTAGAAGGTCGGGCCGGGCCGGGAGGCACCCGAACATCCCTGGAATCGCAAGTACCAAACAATACCATCCATTTGGCCAAAGGGAAAACACGATACATGTGCAATGTAGAGGGGAAACCTAGCACTTGGGAACTATACTGGTGGGCATTGGGGGGGAGAGGTGAGAGCAGGTGAGACCTCACAATGAATATTGCTCCCACGTATAAATATTTATTATAGGGGGGGATTTCAGACTGACCCGGGTAACTGCACTCCCCTCGTGGGCCTATGATGACCTAGCCAGGAGCAGGCGGGGGCAGGGACCGGGACACGCACACAAAAGACTCAAGGCAACGGGCGAAGGACTGGCTCGAAAGGCAGAAAGGAATAAAGGTAGCCCACTCACATGGAAAGAAAGACCACACAAACTAACCAACCTTGACCACACATAACTAAAGCCGCTGGTGGGGCGGGAGGGGCGGGATGGGAGAACCGGATACCCCACCACATGCTGAAAACGGGAACCGGGGTGGGGGGGTGGGACGCGATAACTGGGTCTTAAGCACACAACACCATTCCTCCACCGAGCCTGGCTCGCACACAAAGGGACAGGTATCGTTACAGCGAGCAAGCTCAAATGTATATGCCAACGCATGTTTAAAGTTTTTGTATTATGCATTGTTAAATTTTTAAGGTGAAATACAGATGCCTCACATGTCTCAGACGAGGATACGAACCCTTGTCACCATTGCTAATTGAGCCAAAAAGGGAACACACGGGAGACCAACCGAGCAAAACAGTTCAGACCGGAGAGAGACCACAGTGCGAACTGACCAAGAGACACTACAAAAGCGGGACCGCAACCCACCTGGAGGCCTTGGCCTTCCTTCTACTCCCCTAAGGGATAGGCGCCAAACCTAGGTGGACAAGATACTAGACCCACAAACAGGCATAGGTCTTTGGGACCACCCAGACGCTATTATCCTAATGCCGCCAAAGCGGCAGACCCCCCCCCCAGACTTGCTCCCACCCCCGACATACCCTGGACCCTATCCTCCCTCCAAATCACCTACACCAACGTCTGCTACGGCACCCCACAGACTGACAGACGCTAAAAATGACGCTCTCACCGGCCAACCTCACGATCATCTCATCAATGTAAGGGGATTAAATAAACCCAAAAAGAGGGCGACTGCCCTAAAAGACTTTCACTCCGCCAGTGCATCCATATTCTATTTACAAGAGAAGGGGCTCGACCCAAGATGCAGGACCACCGATACCCTACAGGGTACTTTAGCGACTACCATGGGGGTAAGGCGCGGGGAACCGTGATACTATTAAACAAAAGAGTCCCCCTACTAGAGAAGGGGGTGCAAACAGACCAAGAGGGCAGGTACGTGTTCCTGAAGGGAACAATCGCGGGACAGCCATACATGTTCGCCAACATATATGCCCCTAACCAGAGACACTACAGATTCTCACGTATCTTCGCAAACTGAACGTATTTGCCGAAGGCATCCTGGTGCTAGGGGGAGACTTTAATCTGGCACTGGACCAGAGATGGGACACATCTAATGGCACATCACATGTTCCAACCCAACACCTATCCACAATTAAAACCCTCCTCTCCAAACACAAACTAGTAGACAGCTGGAGGGCTCATTACCCAGATGAGAGGGACTATACGTTCTTTTCATAACCACACAACTCATATACCAGAATATACTACTTCTTCCTGCCACACTACCATCTCCCACTCGTCCTACAGGCAGAACACGACACGGCGACGTGATCTGACCACGCCCCAGTGTCGATCACACTAGCCTCCCCTTTACATAGACCCAGGGTAGCCAAATGGTGACTCAACGAACATCTACTCTCAGTGCCTGAAGTTAAAGCCGACACTGAATCAACCCTCCGGGAGTACTTTACCATCAACACACCCGGCCAAACAACCCCAAAAATTGTATGGGAGGATCATAAAAGTGTAGTGAGGGGCCACTTTATACAAAAGAGCGCCATACTGAAAAATCAGAGCGAGGCACACATGACCACCCTGCTGACAGAAATACAGAGGATAGATACTCAACAAAAACAAACAGACACACACACTGCAGGAACAACTGCTCGCACTACGCAGGAACCGGACCAGACTACTTCAAACGAGATATCACAGAGATGTACTTTGACACAAGGTGTTTTTCTCCCTACATGGCAATAAAAGCGGCAGACTACTGGCTGTCAGGATTACTGTTTGATCCAGCACGTAGAACTGTACAGCACGGATGACAAATAAGTAACGTATTACCGGTCCTTAGAATGGCCGGATTTAACGTACAAAGAATAGTCAAAAATACTAGCCGAGGTCAGGGAACACAGAAAGGGACACAGCGATGAGGAAAGCCAGGAGTCAGGATACCAGAATATAGAGAAGTCAATAAACAAAGCCAAAGTCAAAAACCAGGTAGAAAACTATAAACAGGAACGCGCTCTCGGACAACCACAAGGGAAACCACGACAGGGCACTGAGCAGGCTGAGAACTGGGCCTAAATACCCCTCCTTTAGTTCTGATAGGCTGTAACCAGCCTTTGACCCCAAAGTCAGTTACCAGGTTTCATTTGCATAATTGCTGCTCAGCATTAACCCTTCTGTGGATTAGGTTGCTGCTCGGCACAACTTTTCCTGTGTGGACAGTAAATGTCATTAATCACTTTTCTCTAAGCGGATGAATACATGACATCAGGTTTCATTTGCACAATTACTGCTCAGCATTAACCCTTCTGTGGATTAGGTTGCTGCTCGGCACAACTTTTCCTGTGTGGACAGTAAATGTCATTAACCACATTTCTATAAGCAGATGAATATGTGACATTACCCCCCACCTGAAGAACGCCCACCGGGCGGACAGGACCAGGCTTGAGAGGAAATTTAGCGTGAAAAGCGCGGATCTTACGGCCCGCATGCAGGTCAGGAGCCGAAACCCAAGAACGATCAGCAGGACCGTAACCTTTCCAAACAACCAAGTACTGTAAAGTGCCCCGAGAAAACCTAGAATCCACGATAGAAGATACCTCATACTCTTCCTGACCACCCACCACCACCGGAGGGGGAGGAACACAAGGAACAGTATATCTATTGCAGACAAGAGGTTTGAGTAAGGACACATGAAAAGTGTTGGGAATCCCTAAAGATGCAGGAAGAGTCAGAGAGTAAGACACTGGATTGATCCTACGAAGCACTCTATAGGGACCAAGGAATCTGGGGGCAAACTTCATGCTAGGGACCTTAAGCTTGATGTTGCGAGATGACAACCAAACCCGGTCCCCCACTTGGTACACCGGGTTGGCACTCCTACGCTTATCAGCAAAATGTTTGAAGCGTTCAGCAGCAGCCCCTAGAGCAGTTTGAACCTTAACCCAGGTATCCCGAATGGAGGCCAGACGCTCATCCAGAGCAGGAATGGCAGTATCAGAAAATACCGCAGGGAGAACCGTAGGATGCCTACCATTATTGACAAAAAATGGACTGTGCCCAGAGGAGTCATGAACAGCATTGTTTCTAGCGAACTCGGCCCACGGGAGTAGTTCGGACCAATTGTCTTGTGTGCTATTAATAAAACAACGCAAATAAACTTCTAATGACTGGTTAGCCCTCTCAGCTGTACCATTGGTCTGTGGATGGTAGGAGGAGGAGAAGGAGAGATCAATCCCCAATTGTTTACTGAACGCCCTCCAGAACCTGGACACAAACTGAGAGCCCCTATCAGACACAATATTGTGGGGGATGCCATGCAAACGGACAATTTCACGTATGAAAATTAGGACCAAATCTTGCGAAGATGGCAACTTCTTGAGAGGAATGAAGTGAGCCATCTTAGAAAATCGGTCTACAACCATGAGAATAGTAGTGAACCCAGCAGAGCTGGGAAGCTCAACAATAAAGTCCATGGATAGGTGGGACCATGGAATCTCAGGAACAGGAAGAGGCTGCAACAGGCCACAAGGAAGTGCACGAGTCACCTTAGAAACTGCACACACAGAACATGCCTGCACATACTCCTTTACATCTTTCCTGAGTGAATCCCACCAAAATGATCTAGTGATCGCGGCAGTGGACTTATTGATGCCCGGGTGTCCAGCAGTTATATTGTCATGGAACACTTTCATGATATTAACCCTTTCACATAGGGGAACGAACAGTTTATCACACGGTTTACCACTGGGCGCCTGAGGCTGGGCCTCCAGTATGGTGCCAAGCAGTGGAGAAGACAGTGAGAGGACAGTAGTAGCAATAATACACTCTGGTGGAATAATAGGAGATGTCATCTGTTCCGGAGCTGACTCATTATCAAATTGCCTGGACAAGGCATCTGCCTTGGTATTTTTAGAACCAGGTCTATAAGTAATGAGAAAGTTAAAACGTGAAAGGAACAGTGACCATCTAGCCTGTCTGGAAGACAAACATTTGGCATCCCCTATATATGCCAGATTTTTGTGGTCGGTTATGATCAACAGGGGGTCCTTGGAACCCTCCAAAAGATGTCGCCACTCCTTGAGGGCAAGAATAATGGCCAACAGTTCTCTATTGCCAATATCATAGTTGCGCTCAGCAGGAGACATCTTTCTGGAGAAGTAGCCACAAGGATGCAATGGTGAGAGAGAACAGCCCCTACCCCTGTCTCGGATGCATCAACCTCCAATATAAAAGGTTTACTGGTGTCAGGATGTTTTAGTATGTCCGCAGAGGCAAATCTTTGTTTAAGAGTCTCAAAAGCATTCACAGCCTCTTTGGACCATACCGTGCTACTAACCCCTTTGCGAGTCATATTTGTGATTGGGGCTATTACAGAAGAAAATCCCTTGATGAATCTTCTGTAATAGTTGGCAAAACCAATAAACCTTTGAATGGCTTTTAAACCAGAGGGTAATGGCCAGTGTAGT